AGTGATCCGGAAATCATGTTTGGGGAAGCGGTTGCAACTCGAGCCCAAGACTCGAGTTTGTCGTCCCTGACCGACGCATCCATGTCGAACCCAAACCTCGGTACATTGATGCCAGGAAACAAGGATGGGTGTTGAATACCAAGAACCGACCATCCGTCAAATATACGCTAGACAGATCGTTTTCGGAAGCCATCAAGCATTGATGTTCAGGGTTAAGCCTTAATACGCAGCGGAAGTTGAATTGAAGCCAACGCTAGGAGTCAAACGGCTCAATATGTCCAATCAATGCTGAGTCAAATGAGACACTTCAAGCCAAGATGTTGAATCGAACGCAAAAGCCCTGGTGCAGGACCAGGTCCAATCCGTCGAAGCCGAAGCTCGATGTCAGATCCAAGCAGTTGAAACCTCAGCCATGAATAGGGTTAAGCAGACTCAGGAAGTTGCAGAAGATTTGGTCCGCCAAACACAAGGTGAAGCGACCCGTTTGGTAAACCATTCACATCAAGTAAATTGCGAGTCAGCAAGACCAACCTGACCAAGTGAAAGCCATGGTGATTGATCGCGCCAACCAAGTCGTTGAAGCGACCAGTGCTTCGAATCAGAAAGAACAAGCGTTGGAATCCACGACTACTCGGATGAACCGTGGGCTTATAACAGTTACTAGAAGTTATGAGGTGAGTTATAAGTGTTATAACATTTACAGGTCCAAGTTGTACACTGTAATTACTTATAACTACTGATAAGTACGCTAAATGGTTGTAAAACTTAGCATTAACGATGTTAAGCTGTTGTAAAGGTTTTAAAACTTATGACTTCAAGTTGCTAAGTGTTATAGAAGTTATACTATAGATGTTATACCGTACTTATCCCGTACATAAAAGTATGTTACAAATACACTTACAATGCCTACTAACCTTGATAAACCCACGGTTCACCCCAGTAGGCAATTGAGTGAGATGCAGGGTCGAATGGAAGCAATGATGAGGAGAAGTAGGGATCAAGATGAAGTGCTACGGGCTCTTACCAAGGCTAAAGCCCCTGGAGCTCCAAGCACCATCCCCACAAAAGGCGACCCCATCACCAGCAGCAAGCCCTCTGAGTTCGGGTTCTTCAAAAAAACCATTGATGTTACACGGAAGGAATGAATGAAATGGAAGGCAATGAAATGAAATGAAATGCAATGGAGTGGAATGAAATGAAATGAAATGGAATGGAATGGAACGGAATGAATAAATGAATGAATGAATGAATGAAACGAAATGAAATGAAATGGTTCCGACAGTGCCAGGTACTGCAACCCCAAAGTCATGCCATCCTGCAAGGGAAATCCCGCGCAAGGTTCGTTGATCGCTTTGCCTTCGCTTGCATTGTCTCCTGTTGCCACAGGAATCATGGGTGAAGAGATGCGTCTGGCACCTTCACCAGCTCAGTCCGTTCGCGCAAGGGAGATACCGTTGGCGCCTTTGCAATCTAACATGGCAAGTCGAGAGTCCCTGAATCGATCTTCGTCTTCAAGTGGATCTTCGTCTTCAAGTGACTCGAAAGGAAAAGGTCCAGACAAAACCCGGGTAGAGGCAGAGGATCACCATCTAATGCACCGGTAAAGGGGGATGGTTCGAGCTCCAGTTCAAGTGATTCGGAAGACCCATACGCAACAGAGAAAAGCTCATGAGTGTCAAACAGTATGATTACGTCCAGATATACCAGCATTGCCTCAACGCGCAGCAAAATGTCGTAGTTTCCGAAACGCAGTCTTTAGTGGGGTTTGCACATTCGCCAAGAATGATGAAAGTGTGGTGTTTCTTTTGGTCAGTCGTTGGGCAGATGGAAAAGAGTTCAAGGGCTCAAATGATTTTCCCATCTTGGACCGCATACTGGGTGCCAAGTTGTTGGATTGGAATTGGCAAAATCGACCAGGTTTGACTTAGAGTTCCCAACCCATCAAGAGAGGCGCCAAGCGAACAATCAGCAGCCAAAAGGGCGCAAGCTGTTGCGGTTGATCTTCCAGAAATTTCAACTGGAGCGAGACAGAGGAACTGCGCTATTGCAACATCATCTCTTGTCATTGAAAACGAATGGGACTGACATCAAAGCTCTAGAAGACTTGAGCCCATTGAGGTTCCAAAAGAATTTCAAGAATCACCCAAAGATGGCACCTGCGATTGACTTTCTCAGAGAGGCAATGGCGGCTCCAAACGCGCCAGCCAATGGTTGTATTGTACACAAAAAGTGAAGCAATCGAGATCTCCCAGATGGGCGTGAATACAACGTCAATGGATAAAGCACTCACGTCTGCAGGCGTGGGTCCAAAGGTTGGTGGCGCGCAATCAGAAACCAAAATCAAGAAGAAACAAGAGAAATTTGAAACCAGAGAAAGAGAGAGACGGAAAGCAAGATCAAGAAACAATTAATGACAAGAAGGAGAAACCCAAGACCACCAAGAAGACTGAGGATGACAAAGATGTTGACGCTGCGCCAGTCCAGCAAGGGGAAGGAAAGGGGAAAGATTGCAAAGGCAAAAAGGAGCAGAAACCACCACTGACAAAGGAGCAGAAAGCGAAATTGCCCAGCGTGTTTTTCGCATAACCTCACGCACGCGTAGCAAGGATTGCGAATACCTCCACGAAGGGAACTGCACGAGCGCCCGAAACCTCGAATGAAGAGTAATGCCAATCCAAGTTCACGCAGTCATGCCAGAGCCGCCTCAGTCGCCGCAGCAACCGCGTTTGCATCGATCCCGACAGCCGAGGCTGCCCTGAAAGCGAAGAAAGTGTGTAGGAAGGTCACTCGCAGTTCATTGAGATTACTGTGTATGCCTTTGATCAAATCCAAATCCGTGACTACGATCATGACTGCCATTTCTTGTTGCAACCCGTTGTCTCAGGTTGATTGTTCGAGTGCCCCTGCAGATGAATTTGTTGCGTCAAAGGATTCAATGCTATGACTCAAAATAGCTAGATAAGACAACTTAAAAATATTTTTAAAAAAAGTCCAAACTCACTTCAAAAGTCCAACCAAGACTCACCTTTCACCAGGCAAGTCCAAGCAAAACTCAAAAGTTCAAGGCAAAGTCCAAGCAAAACTCACAGGTTCAAAGGAAAGCTCAAGCGAAACTCAAGGAGCTAGGGAAACCAGGGAAGCGCCCGCTCAGCGAGTTTTGGGCGAGCTTTGCGCGAGCTTTTGACGAGCTTTGGTAGAAGAAAACTAGTCAAAGGCTCAAATCGAAGCTCAAAAACTGAATGCGCACGAGCTTTTCACGAGCTTTCTGCGAGCTTAGCTCGAAATAAACTAGCGCCGAACTCACCACGACGCTCACGCCACGGGAAACGACTTTTGCGCGAGCTTTGATTGGACTTTCCCTGAGTTTTGCTTGAACTTATTAATGATCAGTTGAATTTGCTTTGGACTTTCCTGTTGACTCTTGGGCTTCCATTGGACATCAGCGCAGCAAAAGCGAGTTTTAAGCGAGTTTGAAAACGAGTTTTGGGCAAGCTTTTCGCCGGGAGAAACTGCTTGAAGTAAGTGCGCGCTGATGTTGCCTATGGCGCCGACTCTGGTCACCGAAGTGTTGAATCCCCAATTGCGTGGCGCTCTATATATACTCAGCCTTTCGTGACGCGCAGCACAGCGGAGTCGGAATTTGTTTTTCATTGTGAAGCGTTGGCTGCAGGCTGCGCCACTGAAGCCTTGCTATGTGCTATGTGGGGGGAGCCATTCACCGTGGCAATGCAAAATGCGCCATCTTCTTCGAGGCAGTCTTCGGGAACTTGTGGGGCAATCTGGGTTGGCGAGACAGCGTTCACTTCGCTTCGACGCTGTCTGCGAAGATTGCGCGAGGTGGCCAGCGCGCCATCGGAGATGAGGCTGAAGAGGAGGTCCAAGCGTTCAACAACGCTCGAAGATGAGGGGTGCAAGGCGACTGAAGATGCAGAGGACTCTGCAGCTGGGTCGAGACTTGAATCCTCGAGCGCAGGGAGTATCAGGGAGTGATCATGCATCTAGAAGGGCGCTCTCGAGTAAGAAGTCAACAAAAAGGGACATCGGCGCGGCGGGGCTGCTGAAAGCGCGCAGCTGGCGGCGGACGCGGCGGATCGCGCTGCCGGAACTGCAGAAGCTGCGGCGGCGATGCTTCAGAAGGCCGCGCAGAAGCCAACTGGCCACGCCGGCGAAGGCTGGTCGCAAGAGAAAATGCTAGCTGAATACTACTGCGCAAAGTGTCAGAAGACTTTGTATAGCCTTGAGCCAGGACACTTTTGCATTTTCTTCGTTGGCCCGCAATATTTCACCAACCTGGGAACTTACAGTGGCAAAAAAGATGCCACAGTGAAGCGAGGCGTATTTCAGTAGGAGAGGCGTATTTGCAGATCTCTCAGGCCAGTGGCGTATTTTCAGAAGTGAATAAAAACCCCTTTGGTAAAACATCGAAGCAAGCAACTGCACTGTGGCCGTGCAGCTGCTTGAAGGTCGCAGTTCAAAAGTTTCTCTCCAAAATCCGTAGCTCGGAAGTTTCATTCAAAAGTCCGTAACTCGGAAGCTTCACTTCTCCTGTTTTTGTACATATAATATACGTGCGACGATCAAACTGGTTGTTTGAAACCTTTGTGCTGTTTTTTGTGCGCAGTCTTCTGTACTGCAGGCATGGCTGCATGCGCAACTCGATTGCCCGCGACCGTGGTTTTTGGGTAGGAGGCCCAAACGTGTATTTATCATGCATTGTATCGTATATATGAAAAAAAAATATATATATATATAGATACATATACACTACATGCGCACGTTCTTTTCCACAGGGGTCTGTGTCGACTAGCTGGACTTAGTGGGCTTCCGCGGAAATCGCTAGAACATATATAGAGTTGAAGGTTTTGTCCCATTGAAAACCAACCACCGTGGGAATACACGAGCTCACGATCGGGCCGTTGCAACCCCACGCGCTTCTTTTGCTCATGAGCGGAGCTGCGCTCTTGGTACGAGGAGGTCCTGCCGGCGCAGTTGCAGAGCTGATCATTCTGTCAGACCTCGATCACACCTGGTGAACTGATTTTTGTTTGTGTGAAGGGCTTAAGTTTTGTTTTCGCAAGTGTTCGGGCCGTTCGCATGGTTCGTTTGGCCCGCCGGTGGGATGGCCTCGCTGTGGTGCAGAAGAGGCTTCGTAAGGAGGGCCGGGCTTGGATTCGAGAACCAGATTCCAAGGAGAAGGAACCTGTTGATGGTGCAGAGTCTGATCAGGCCGAAGACTCTGGCCCACCTCTGAATGCCGACTGCCTGAAATACAACGACACCATCCTGTGGGAGATGTTTCATTGCTGGTGCTTTAAACCAAAGCCAACAGTTGATAAAATTGAGGCTGAGGCAGGGTTCCCCCAAAAAGTTCAATACATGTACCGTTTGGTTATTCTAATTTATTGTAACTTTTTAGGGCCAGGGTACCGCAGTCCACTATTCAATTGGCTCTGTTCCGGGCAGGTGAACGCCCTCTTCGAGATTTCCGAGTACAGGCCGCACCCCAAACAGGCCTACAAAGATGCCTGGACGTTGAAGCGCTTGTGGGGGTACGCACAGCGTCGGCAAAGAGCCGCTGAGAAGAGAAATCAAACACCACGGCAATCTAGGTTGAACTATCAATTTTTCCTTATGTGCTAGTTCATGAACCGTAGCTCAAATCCAAAAAGCATTCGATGGAACGGCCTGGCGAACTATACAACTGCTCAATGAGGATGCTGGGACGCGGCTACTCTTCGCGAAGATCAAAGAGGTTTGTGAACAACAGCATCGTTTCGGCCGCCGTTTCATCAAGAGTCCTGCCAGAGACCAGCTGCAGGAAGAGGCGGATGTTTGTCTTTGTCCTGCAGCGCCGGTGTTACATTTTTGGATCGCGCTTTCAAAAACATCTGGAAACAATTGGAATCACCCTGCAAACAATTGGAATCCCCCTGGAAGGGTGAGGGGCCTCACGATCAGCCCCATGCCCACGAAGACCGCTTGGGTGCCAAGGACAAAAACCATATGTTGCCAGAACGGCTGTTTCTTCTGAGATCTTAAGGGCCCTACATTTGAACATTCATGTCTTGTTTTCTTGTTCCATTTTCGCAGCCTCAACCAGCCAGGAGGCCGAGACCGACCCCTATCAGAGTGGAGCCGACCTTGCGCCGTGCGCCAATGAGGACTCCAAGGATCCAGCGGCGGAAGATGAGGATCTAGAAGTGTTGTCATTTGTTCCAGCTCCCAAGAGCAAGGTTCATGAACTGCAAATGGAGCTCATCAACTTGCAAAGGGAGATTTCCAAAAGGCTATCAAAAGGTTTCTAGCCTTGAGCATTGAAGCATTTTTGGCGGGGTTTGGAGATGCTTTTGAAAAACAGCGGAAAATATGGAAACCCATCAGCCCACGCCGCCGGCCCAGGTGGTCCTCAAGCC